GGACGAGACTTAAGGGAGCATAATACTAATTATTCTATTACTAATTATTCTATCTTAATATTGCTCAAGTACTATAAGTTTTTATATATTTGTAAATTAAATTGTAATGTTCAAATGTGAAACTAGAATTTATTTACATTTTGTGAAAATAGATGGTGATAATGCGGACGCTGGTGTAGAAGATGGTGACGATAACGATCAAAATGACAGAGAAAATAATGATGATGGCGAGGATGAGGATGGTGGAGATGGAGATGATTCTGGTGACGACAGTGCAGATTATGATCCTAATGTTGACATTCATGATTTATCTGATGATTTCTCTTTATCAGACATGGATGATTTAGAGATATTGTTTTCATGAATGCCATTAAGAAATACAATTTTGTTTGCATGCGCGGACAGAATTAACGACACATGCAAGCGCACGCGCGCGCACACACACACGCGCGCGCGCGCGTGTGTGTGTGTGTGTGTATACATATATACACATAAATATTAAAAATTAATTTTATTATGGTTATTAATTGAATATTCTAAACGTAATAATTATGACTAACTTTTCTATTGTAATTTGGATATTCTGTATTGATTTTACACAGAAATATCTGGGTATCAATCATGAAACTTTATCCCTAAGAAAGAGAAAAGTGAAAATTCTAATCAGTGAAGTTAATGGAGAAATTTTTAACTTTTCATCCTAGGAAAAAAGTTTCATGATTGATATTCTGTACTCTTCAAATAATTGATTGTAAATGATTATTATGCATCTTCTGTTTGATAATTAAATAAAAATATGTTATATGTTCTTTTCAATCATATATGAATTATTTATTAGTATATGATATACAAATATAAAGACTGTATACAGAATGTCTAATAGGTGTAAGTTTGAGTTTGTCTGTATTTACAAGTGGTGTGTGCCCATAAGCATGCATTGCTCGTAGATAGGTAGAACAAATTAAACTCAAAAGTATGGGAAATAACGCATTAGCTATTGAAATAACGCCGTTACCATTATCGTTACTTTTGTATAATAATGATTTGTTCATTCTTTTACAATTTTTCATCACGGTAACGATAATACTACCGTTATAATTCACTTTTGAAATATAACTCATCGTTACCATTAAAAAATTTATAAGACTCCTGAGTAGTCGCCACGGCCATATAGGATCGTGATGTCATGTCATAAGCGAAAAAGACACATGTTGAAGTTTCTTGCATGCCATTTGTAAATAAAAGAATTTGGATAAAACAAATTAATGAAAACGTTCTGAAAAGCTGTAAAAATAGGACAGAATTATTTTTATTCCTCTCTCTCTTTCCTTCCCCTTCCCTCTTCCCTGTCAGTACAGGCTCTGTTCCAAAGGAGAATGTCTATGGTATAGGGAGGGTTTCTGCCTTAAAGATGAAAAACCGATAAATTCATTTACAGTATAATGAAATCTATCTCCCAATATTAAATTCCACTTTTTTCGGCAGGGAAAGTTGAAAAAATTATATTTAAAGTTTCACCGAAATGACGAGGAAGCGAGAGAGACAGAGAGCAAGCGAGGCAATGAGAATGGAGACGGAAAGCCGCAGATGTACTGTAGAATCTCTCTAGTAAGAGTAAGACACTATAAACGTGAGTATTCGCATTCCATCATTTTTATTCCTTTCCCCACTCCTTGCTCTGTTCTGTCACCCCGCCGCTGAGAAGATTATGATCGTTACGTATGATTGTTATAGATTATAGCTTCTAAGCTGTTGGAAACCTTGCTTCATATTTATGTATTTCTGCACTTTAAAATTTTACATAAGACTAAGAGATGAAAAGAAGAACATAAAAAAAACTGAAAAGGAAATTTATTATATATTAACGAAGAAAAAAAAATTTATAAAATGCCTAGCGTAAGCTGTATTAATAGATCAGAAAAAAATATTCGATTATTTAAATTTTCTGCGGATAATATTCGTCGACAACTTGCTGTATTGTTATAAAATAAATACATGACTTGTGAATAAACATTATTATACTTTCCTCGCAGATGAGAAATTTCCTTTTCTTTAAATTGACATACATATTTGGCATCTTGTATATATAGAAGTAACCTGAACGCCAGATACTCTTCAGATCCTGCACTAATATTACGATAGATATTCAACTGATTTTAAGAGCAAAACTGGAATGAAAAGAGCTACAAAATTTCAAATAGCAAATACAAATCATAACTTGTAATGATCATAACATGTCACAGTTCAGTGATGGAATGGAGACAAAGCAAGAAGGAGGAAAAGGAATAAAAATGGTGGACGCGAATACCTACTTTCTAATGCTCTAGTAAGAGTTAACTCATAAGGGGCACCAATCTCTGATTGATCAGATTTCGAATCCCTTTAAATGCTGCCATTTGCAGATATAATAATGAATCTGTGAATTGTTGTGAGCAATTGTTATGATGTATAGTATTAGGTGTACAACTTTGCTTCCGCCGTTTTTTTTCCGAAATTCGAGGCTTTATTGTAAAAAAACTGGTTATACATTTATGATTCAAAGTATTGTCCATCGCTGGCCACTACTTTCTCCCATCTTTCGGGTAGCGTACGAATCTCGCGTCGAAAAAACTGATCATCTTTTGAGGCTATCCACGAATCGATCCAATTTTTTACTTCGTCATAAGACCGGAAATGCTGGTCAGCCAGGCCGTGTGCCATTGATCGAAACAAGTGATAGTCAGAGGGAGCAACGTCTGGAGAATATGGCGGGGGTAGGTCTTCCCATTTCAACGTTTCCAAGTATGTCTTGACCACTTTCGCAACATGGGGTCGAGCATTATCATGCTGCAAAATCACTTTATCGTGTCTCTCATTGTATTGCGGCCGTTTGTCTTTCAATGCTCGGCTCAAACGCATCAATTGCGTTCAATACCGATCGCCTGTGATTGTTTCAGTCGGTTTTAACAGTTCATAATACACTACGCCGAGCTGGTCCCACCAAATACAGAGCATGACCTTGGACGTCAAAATCACCGTTCTTGAAGCGTTGAAACCACTCACGACACGTTCTTTCACTAATAGTGGCCTCGCCATAAGTATTTGAGAGCATTCGATGAGCCTCAGCCGCAGATTTCTTCATATTATTTGAAGCAAAAAATTAAAACCTCCCGCAAATGACGAGAATTTGGCTCGTAAACTGACATTTTCAATCGAGAATAACTTTATGATGCAGACACAAATCGACTAATGTTTCTATAGTTATGTTGACAGATGCCCAAGTTTATTGTATGACGTCTATGATCTATTTATTTCGACCACCACTTACCGCTAAAGCCATCTATAGGAAAACGGCGGAAGCAAAATACACCTAATACAAAAAGGCGCGAACGGAAAATCGGACTGTTAACCATGAAATTATAAATAGTACAATTTGTTGTTATACAGAATACGGACATGGAAAATAGGGTTGTACGGTGAAAAATTCGGTTTCGAATTCTGATCGTAAAATCAATTTAAGTAATCGTCATACAGAACAATATATTTCGATATTAATACATAACTTGATTGAAGTAATTACAACATTGAAACAACGATATTGTTACTCGATATTTCGATATTGTTACTCAATTCACGATATTCTGAAAAATGAATGCTCTAGAATCACATAGATACTTTCGTATCGTTGAAAAAAGATGAGTCACAAGATTAATATTCGATTTAAAAAATTTTATCGTATTTGGAGCAGATAATTTATGTTAGAAGAGCTTGAAGTTTTTTTATAATTATTACACGTATTACGTCCTTTTATAATTACAAAATCTGATCAATTATTAATTTTATAATGATTTCTTTATAATAAAAAAAGTGTTAGCAACATATATAAGAATTATATGTAATATTAAAATATAATACTTTCAGTTCACAATAAAAAGAATTAAAGAATAATTATAAAAAAGGATATTATTCTCGTTACTTTTTAATGTAATAATACAGTAATTAAATTGTAACATTTAAGACTCCTGACTACTCAGCCAAGAACTTTGTATTGACGGTGGCGACACAGAATCAGATGCCGATCTGGCGAAATGGTAACCATACACTTAATCCCATGTTCGTGTGCTCGGCGCGCCGAGAATGAACGAGACAGCGAGCTCCTTCTCACAGTAATTTTGTTTCATTTGTTTCAAGCGAAAATGCTTTCTCGGCAATCTCGGCCGCTCGGCGGCTCTAGGCATCAATAAAAGGCGAGAGACATTCTAAATAACACATAAGTTTTAATAAATTGTAGTAATAGTGTACCCCTTCCATTAATCCAGAATAAATTCATGTTAAAAAACGCAACAGTTTACGAGATATTTAATTGTTTATGATTTTTCATGCGCATTATATAGTATATCTCTCCTTCATAAACTCGAGTAGCAAGAATAATTCAGTAGAAATAGAAATTTTATCGGAAAAAAATTATAAAGCAGCATTTTTCTTCATGAAAGTCACGAAAGTCTCATCAGAAAAGAAAGGCGTATGTTTGAGACACATAGATTTTTTTATATCAATTTTTTTCAATACTTTTCGTTTTTTATAAGCGAAAAACGTGTTTTTTGCAATTATTCGATTTTTTTTGCATATTTTTTTCACAAATCTCAAACATACGCATTTCTTTTCTGATGGCCTTTCAAAATTTTCATGAAAAGAAATGCTAGTTTATAATCTTTATAATCTTTATAATCTTTTTCTGATAAAATTTTACTTCTACTGAACTATTCTTGCTACTCGAGTTTATGAAGAAGGGGTATATCACGCGCATGAAAAATAAACAATTAAATATTTCGTAAACTGTTACGTTTTAACATGATTTATACTATTCTGGATTAATGGGAGAGGTACATTATTACTATAATTTATTAAATTTATATGTTATTTGAGATTTGCCTCCCTGCCCCTTATTGACTGAGATTTGTCTAGGACCGCCGAGCGGCCGAGATTGCCGAGAAAGCATTTTCAGTCGCTCGAAACAAGCGACTAGTATGAGAAGGAGCTCGCTGTCTCTTGGTTTCACTCTCGGTGCGCCGCAAGCGAGACGTAAGCTCGTGCTTGTTGTGTATTAAAACGCTGCAACATAAATGGTCAAACTTAGCGTGAAAAAGTGACGACGAAATATATGTTGTGTGTTGTTATTATTTGCTTAATTGTGAAAATGATGAGACTTGTCTACTTATCGAAGTCGTAATTATCGATGAAACTGAAGTTATCTTGGCATTTTATATGTAAAAGCGTATATTTTACTCGTTTCAACAGCTGTCGGACCGTGTATTTCTATCTGAATATAGACTCACTTAATATGTCTTTTACGACTGACCATTTACTGATTGACAAGGAAGAAAAGGACAGTTTTTATCGATTTATAGAAGTGTTTTAAAGTGATCTTGTCATTTCGTTTCATCCAAATTATCTTTGGTAATTATTATTGAGAGACCACCCTCCAATAACCTTGATTTTGACACATGTTATCAAGATCATGATATATATTATAGGACTCTGAGTGACCTTGAACAAATTTTAGCCGTTGATTGTGGTTCGTTAAAAAGTTGTTATTAACAAAAAAAAGTTCTTCAATAAAACCTAACTTTGGATACAACTGCGCTCCAATGAGACAAATTCCCTGCTCTAATAGCGCAAAATATTTTCTTATATAATTTTTATCTTTAGAGCCAGAGAATTGTATTTTTAAAGTAGAGAATTTCTTTTAAAAGCATAGAATTTTGCGTTTTAAAGGAAAAAAATGTGTTAAAACAAAGAATTTGTGTTTGTTTATTTGATTCATTCAGTATTATTATATTATTTATATTTTCAGATATTGGATATTCCTTAGCTATTATGTCAATAAATGAAGTTATATATTTGTAACAATATTTCGATCGTTATAGGATTAATTTGGCGACAATGATGTAGTGTTTACAGTTATGTATAATGTATATTTTTTTCGCGAAATGTTAGATTTACTTCTGTCCATATAAAAAGAAAAGGTGTACATTCTATATAATAAAATGTTTGCTACTTTACAACATATATCAAGATCAAGGTCATTGGAGGGTGATTCCTTATATTAAATAATTATCTTATCTTTATTTAAAAATACACACACAACATAAATTAACATGTCTTTCCTCGCTTTTGACGTCACAATTCCAACATGGTCGTCGCGACTAGTCAGGAGCCTTAAAACTAGCTTTTGTACCTAAAAAGTAAGCGCAAGCAAATCTAATATTAAGTATTCGATAAATGAATTGGGCACAAAAAAAGGATAACACTTATTACAGAAAAGATATGGAGTTGCCAAATATGGATCAGTTATTTTTAATTACTTTTCATTAAGTTATTTATTATATTTTATTATGTTTTGATACTAATTTCTATGCTAATGGACGTTGGAAATTGTACGAGAGCAAGTCAATAAGTTTTTAAAAAAACAAATTTTTTTTGATCGATTCATTTTTATTTCTCAATATAGTCTCCTTTCAGCTTGATATTTTGATCCAACGATTTTCTAACTTTTTCAAGCCACCCGAATAATATTTGTCCAATCCTTCAAAATAAACCTCTGTTTCGGCGATGAGCTACTCTCTGGTGGTAAATCTCCGAACCATTTCTTCAGGTTTGGAAACTGAAAATAGTCGCAAGAGGTTAAATCTGGCGAATATGCTGGATGGGGAAGCAATTCGTAGCGGAATTCGTTGAATTTGACATCGGTGCCAGGCACGTATGAACTCGTACATTGTCTTGATGGAAGAGCATTTTCTTCTTCGCCAAATGGGGACTTTTTTTTTTTAAATGTTGTTGAACGGTCCAATAAGACTGCGTAGTAATCGCCGTTGATCGTTTGCCTTCGACGGAAGATAATCGATATGAATTATGCCGCATGCATCTCAAAAAACTGTAACCATTATCTTTCCGACCGATTTTACGGTCTTCGCCTTCTTCGGAGTTGATTCACCCGAAGTCCATTGTTTCTTCGGGTGTGGTAATGGATCCATGTTTCCACAATAATGAATCGACGCAGAAATTCATCTGGATTAAAACATCTCTGGATTGAAACATCTCTAAACATTGTTTTGAAATCGTCATACGGTCGCGCTTGGAATCCACATGCTGGTGCAGATGTGTTATGAGCATTATCCAACTCGGCTTTGATTTCGGCGTTAAACCTTTCATATATAGATGTTTGATCATTGCAAGAAACTCGTTTTTTTTCCATTTTGCAAAAAATACAAAGGTTGCTCGCTTTAATTGTGTTGGCGATCTTGCTGAGCGCACGAAAATCATAATGGCGTGGCCAGGCGATCACCGTTCGAGCGTTTCCCGCGGAATTGCTACGTCGAGGGCACTCGGTCGAGAAAATGCGAATTTCTCTGCTTTCCAAATTTTATTAAAAATAAGCCTCGAGCGCGGACGAACGTGTTTACAGCAGATACGGAAAGGATCTTAGCGGTAGCGCGGCGATGACCTTCTATGAGACGAGTCGCGTGCAGAAGACGAAAACAACAGTTTGTTTTGTTGCCAAGACGGTCTGATATTTTTTTTTTTTAATCGATTACGCGTGACGCATGCGTCGTTTAGCAATCGACATCTCGTGGATTTATCGATTTTTCATAGATGCGATTAGACGATATAATTAGAGGTCGTGAATCACAGAGATACCGAACAAATTGTCTACAGAAATGAAACAGAAATGAAATCATAATATACGATAAATTCCGCTCAAAATTTGACAATAATCAGCTGAGAGAGCTGCTACTTGTCAAAAAATAATGTGACGTGACACTGCGAGTATTCTCTGACAGATTTTCTAACAACTTATTGACTTGCCCTCGTAGCTTGACGTTTCGGGTACTTATTTATTACAATAAATAACATTTTATTATAACAAATAAAAACATTTATTTCATCGTATACAATCTTTTGTTTAGATGTTTTTGTTCATCGCTAAAAATATTAATTGTTCTGCAAATAGACTCGCGCGTGTGTCAGTTATTTTCTGCTCAACTAAATACGTGTTCAGAATACCTGGAAATATTAAATATTTTTCCGCAATATAACATAAATTATCTTCATTTGAAACGCCTAGTCATAGTTGGAAATTTTTGTCACATGTACATGTGAATGATTTTCAATAGTTTGTTATTTCAGTGTGGGCTTACATTTAATTTTCGCTCCACGAACACTCCAAACCACATATAAATTAGAAAATTCTTTCGAATGACCGTTCCACCAAAGTAATGAAATCAAACAAACTATTTATTAGTCATTAAGAGAAAAATATGAAAAACCTGAAATGAAACATTCTAAACGGCAATCTTTTTAGATCCACGATTCAAATTAAATTATTTCCTGATAGAATCAATTAATCTTATTAATACAATAAAAGAAGAAATTATAAAACTTCAATCGCAAAAATCTCTTTCAATATGTTTAGATAAACAAAAAACTGTGTAAAAGGTTTAACTGCTATTTTACAAGCAGAATACACAAGAAATTACACAAAATAAAACATTTGAGGAATTTACATTCAGAAATAGAATATTATATTAAATCTCCTATCATAGATTTGGAAAAAAAATTCAATACTTTAGTGGAACGATAATTCGGAAGAATTTCCTAATTTATGTTATATTGCGAAAAAGTATTTAATATTTTTAAATACTAGCGTTCCGTCTGAAAGCGTGCTTAGTTGCGCAGGAAATATTACTACTAATTGACACATGCGCGTGTCTATCTGCGGAATAATTAATATTTTTAGTGATGAACAAGAACATCTAAAAGATTGTATATGATCAAATAAATGTTTTTATTTGTTATAATAAAATGTTGTTATTTATTGTAATAAATAAGTATCCGAAACATCAAGCTACAATTTCCAACTCTATTAGCATACAAATTAATATCAAATGGAAAACATAGAAAATAATAGAAAATAACTTCATGAAAATTAAAAATAATTAGTCCGTATTTGGCAATTCCATATATTCCAATTCTCTTCTAATAAGTGTTATCCTTTTTTTGTGTCCAATTCATTTATCTAATACTTAATATTAGATTTTTGCGCTTACACATTTTTGGGTACAAAAACTAGTTTTAAATATTTGTCACAATTTAATTACTGTATTATTACATTGTAAAAAATAACGAGAATAATGTCCTTTTTTACAATTATTTTTTAATTCTTTTTATTGAGCTGAAAGTATTATATTTTAATATTATATAATTCTTATGCATGTTGCTAACACTTTTATTATTAAAGAAATAATTACTAAATTAATAATTAATCAGATTCTGTAATTATAATACGTGTAATAATTATAAAAAAATTTCAAGCTCTTCTAACATAAATTGTCTGCTCCAAACACGATAAAACTTCTTAAATCGAATATTAATTGCATATTAATCTTGCAACTTATCTTTTTTCAATACAATATGAAAGTATACGATTCTAGAGCATTCATTTGTCAGAATATCGTGAATTAAGTAACAATATCGAATCAGTTGTTTCAATATAACGATTACTTCGACTGACAAGGGAACACAACCAACTGAATCTCTCCAAGTGATTTAAATGAGTTCCAGTACGCATCAATATCGCACTAGCTACTATTATAATAAGAGTTTTTTACAATAATAATAGTAATAATAGTAGTAGTAGTAGTAGTAGTAGTAGTAGTAGTGACTTTGTTAAATTTCCGAAACCAATCAAATATTTTTGATATATACACAAATATATCTCCAATTAAGATCAAAGTATGAATAAAGAAATTATTATTTTCGTAAAATATCATTCTTTTTGCAATATCCGTCGTATTCAATGTTAACATGAATAAAGTATTGACAAAACATTGGGTCTTATTAATCTAGATGGAAAATAGATATGCTGACGCATAATTTGTGTATGTTGTTGACATGAATAATCTATTATTATAATAAGACATTGCGTCTCATTATTGCAACTATGTAGTAAATATAGTTGATTACTATCAGCTGCTGTGTGTAGAAGTGCTGTATGCAACAATGAAAGTTTCATATGTATCGTTAATTAAAATGGAAAAATCGTGCACAAACTGTGATGCTTTTCATCAATCAAAGATATTATTATTTGATTATTTATGTTGCATTTATTCAATAATTTTTATTTAATAACTTATTTGACTATTAATAATGTATTTATTTAATAAACTTCGTTTTTCTTTCAGTTTCCGTTCAAGTATTTCCAATGTAAAAAGAACAATATTAAGAATCTTTATTTTAGATCGCATATTTTAGATCGCATATATGAGACAATACAATCAATGCTAGAAATTAAAGAACATTCCAATAACCCACGTATATCCTCGTATTTTATCTTATAGAGACGGACACTTTAGCTTTCAATATTGAACAAAGAAATCTTTCACAAGAAATAAACATTAATCGAACGGAATCTAGACGTCCTCGAATTCTTGGAGGACGAGAGCATATATTAGAATTACTACGAAATATGAGTGCTAAGAAAACAGCTGACGAGGGAAATTATAATCAAGCACTACAAGTATCTTATGATCAAAGTGAGATTTTTGAGGATTGAAATAAGTGGATATTAATTATTATTATATTTATGCGTATAAGAAAAACATGAAAAAAGATATGAGATGATAATTGTATTACATAAATTTTATTTTTAAATTTACAGAAAATATGCATACGTACACTGTGTAAATATAGATGAGAAGTATGTGCAATATTTGTATATTAATACTAACATCGTTTCTACAAGAAATTTGCAGAAATAAAAATGTTTCTTTGTAATTAATATATTATTATATTTATTAATGATATTGACATAATAAATTCTCTCTTACAAATTTATAAAATTTCTTTTCTTCTCCTGTTGTATACAACAGAATATACAGGTTTAATACAAACTTTTTTCGGATAATTTTATTCTTTGCAACCTATGAAACAGTAATTTTAGAACTTATTGTTAATTTCATATTTTTGTTCAATTTCATATTTTACAATATAAAGTATCAGTCACGTTGAATTTTATTTCATATTTGTTTATTATATTTTCGTATTTATTACTAAAATATAACAATTTTTAATTATTATCTTTAATTTTACAATGTTTTCTACAATGTTTTCTACAATAAACATATAAATCATTGCAATATTTACGATTCATACTGATCACAAAGATGATATTCATGAAAAAAATGTATTATGCAGAGAAACTTTCTGCACCATGCGCAAGTAATTACAGCTATTTCATCACAAGTATCGCATGTTGGTTTCGAATGTTTTTTAAAGTAAAAATCGATCAGTGTTTCAAATTCTACTGGCTATGTTCCAAATATCCACTTTTGTATCAAGCGTTTTTAAAATTAAATCTTGGCGATGAAAACTGATTGTTCATTGAATGATTATAATTTTAAAAGCCTTTCTAGAATGAAGTTTTACATCAAGATCTAAAAGCATGACTACATCTGAAAAATGCTTGATGAAATTCTTCCACAAAAGAAATCCAAAAACACCTAATGGTTGTATTTTTTCTGTTGTTCCAGCCGGTATAGTTAATAGAATAATATCTTTTGCAATATCTGGTCTATTTCTTTGAATTGGGAGTACAAATTAGTATATTACAACTAATTTTTTTTTGAAGAAAGTAATTATATAACCTGTAAATTTTACTTTTAATTTAGAATATATATGATAAA